ACATTCAGTAGCCATCACTGTGATCTATCTGATCGAGACAGCTGTGCCGAGGCTGGGGATTTTGAAATATTACTGTAGAAAGCTGAAATCCTTTTGCCACACTTGTATTCATTTTGGTGGTTATCACTGTAACAGTTAACAAAAGACACAAAGACATCCATACCCAAAACACAGCATATGAAGATTTAATTTTTTTTTAAATGGCACATACATTTAAATAGCTACTACTTTTCCCATTTGGCAAGGCCATTGTTGTGGCTAATGTATGTATTTCTGAAAACAATGATGCATTTCCAATAGTATCTTCCACAATTTTTTTCAATGAGCAATAAAGGAGGTTGAGGTGGGATGTGTTTTATCCCACCACATTATATCATTCCTCTTTTTCCTCTTTGTTGGATGGCAATCAGGAACCCTCATGCCAAGCTTGGGAAGCAACAGCATCTGGCTCCTTGGCAGATTCTGCAGGCGGTCTTGTTGCCAGCCTTTAAGCTGTGTCTGGGTCTGCTGCATGGTTTGGCTGCAGATGGGCTCTCTGGGTTGCCTTGTGCTGATGGGTGCCAGTTTTGGCTTACCTTTGATTCTGAGGACTTTACTCATTTTTATTCATTTGTGAATAAGGACCCATCCAAATGCTTCATGAAACCCATATCAAAGTGTACTGATATTTAAAATGAAAAAGAAAGGAGGCCGTTTCCCTCCCCCCTCCCCTCCCCAGGATGAAACATTATAATAGCATCTGCAAATGGATCTGGATCTATCAGTATTTCCATTATAAATCAGAGGCTTAGAGCTTAGCCATGAATATTCCTTCCAGAATGAAATGCAATGCTGTGGTTAGTACAAAAACAGTGCTGAAGATGTTTCCAGACCACCTAAGCCTTGCGGCACGCTCTTCAGCATCTTTCAAAGGGGACTGTTGTGGAGAAATGGTATTCTAAATTTTTTTGAGTAGACTTCCAAAATCATCTGTAGGCCCCAAATGTTTCTTGGTACTGTTTCGGGGAGCTGAGGTTCAATACAGGTCTGAAGTCGCTTCCAGGCATAGTGCCTTGGCCCAACAGAAACTGCCTGAAATTGGGGAGTTGTGCAGCTCCCAAGCAGGCAATCGCAGCGTGCGTGCTCCTGGCAGCGACGGGGTGGCGAGCGAGACAGCGGCCGGCAAGGTACGAGATGGCCACCCCTCAGCCTTGACTTGAGCACCTAAACGGAGAGGGTAGCGGGGCCCCTCAGCGGCAGCTGCTTCCTGGAAGGCATGGGGAGAGGCCAAGGGGAGGCTGTGCTCCCGCTCAGCGGTGTCAGGCCATTGCCAAGGCTGGGGAGGCACAGGGGTGCACGCGAACCTTGGCACCGGCGGCTTCCTCAGCTGCAAAATTAAGTCTTCAAAATGCAGTATGGCTTTTAAAATTTTGGAGTGATCCTTTGTGGGGATAAGAGGCACTACTGCATGCATCTCGTGTTCTCCAATGGACAAGAGATGGCTGCTTTTGGTTATGCTAGCATGTGCGCTTTTAAGGGCAGCTTTATTTGCTAGAGAGCAGCATCCCCCAAGCAAGGGCTCCACAAGGTGCCTGGCCGTCCCCGAAACGTTGGGCATGCACAGGGCTGGAGAGAGCCCATCGGCACCCTCTCGAAGCGTGCACACAGCCATCCAGGAGACGGCGCTTGGTGGAAATGCTGGTGGCTGGGCAGCGTGAGGCCACAGCTGCCCATGCTGATTCCCCACATGACCCGGTTCCCTGCTGAGCGCTCCTCTGCGAGGCAGAGCCATCCCCGAGCAACCAGCCGGGCACCGCACATCTCCTAATTACGAAGGGATCCACATACAGGCCTACCAATAATGACCAAAGAAAATTAAAATAAATACATTTTCAAATGGGTATTTCTATTTTTATCTTTGCCGTACCCACTATAAACGACCACCGCGTGGAATTTTATCTCCATGTGGAGTATGTTGCCGAAGTCACGTCAGCGATACTCTGTCACACAAAGTCCAGCCAAACATATTGAAACAATTCAAAGCAGCAGCATTCTGGTGTCCCTTGCTTCCTTTCAAAACCTGCCTTTTCAGTATTTAGGAAAAAAGTATCTCTTCTTTTCATTCCGTATTTCCTTGTGGTCTAGAGACAGCCTCTGCATATGATTTACAACAATTTTTCTTCTTCTGCAGTCTCTTCCAAGATTCACCTCTTTGCAATTCTTGGTAACTATTTTTCTTGCAGTCTTACCTTCTTGCAGTTTTTTTATATGAATCAGGGCAGGATGTCAAATATGCAGGTCTAGTGTGTGGCACCTTGCCCCCCACCCCACTTCTTGTTATCTTCAGGAAGAAAAAAGTAAATTCATAACAAAATTGTTAGACATTTTCTTTTGCAGGTTATTTGGAGAAGGGAAGGGATTTGCTTTTAAAACTAGCAATGCTCCCGTTTTGGCCAAGTACTTGAGCACCTCTAAGTATGTGAGGAAGCTACATGCATTTTATGGAACTATTCACCTTTTAAACTAAATTATTTAATAAGCTTCAAACGTCACATCTCATCTTTGCATGTAGGTCAGAACCTTGTATAAAGTTCATTTGTTTTTGTAGGCTAGTAAGAACACACACTGCAGATCAAAATAATAAACAAATAACTGGTTGTTTAATGTGTAATACTCTCCCCTCTCCTGCATGAGTGCTAAGGGAATTCATCAGGAAATCACACACTAGCGTTAAGAGTACAAGCTAGCACAGTCTCCAAAGGAGGCTCTGATATGATGAAAGGCTGAGGGTGTCAATAACAGAGCTGGCTACATGCTGAAAACCAGGACTGGTGAATACTTGTTTGAATTCCACCTGAATTTGCAATGTGTGCTGTATCTTCTGGATATTTGCTTAGGGAAATGAGGGCTGACTATTGTTGGAGTGGTTCGTTGCTCTTTGTAATGTCCATATTCACACAAAAACAAGAATGTTTGTGCTCATGGCGGTATTTCCTTGTTTACCGTTCTCTTTGAAAAATCTCACCCAGAGGGAAACAGAAGGGGAACTGTGTAGTTTAGGTGATCAACTCAATAGCATGAAGGGTGAATGGCAAGTAGGAAACTGTCAACTCGTACAGCTCATAAACGAGGCACAAGATGAAAATCAAGAGTCTAAACTATTGATAGCCAAAGGAGAAATGGACCAAAAACTTATGAATATGCCCAGTACAGTTCTGGCTGGTCCATTGATTGATTCTCCAACAGAAAAGAAGTGCTACAACCATGGCAAATAATATTTAAATAAATAATATGACTGTTGCTAGCTCTGTTGTGTGTGGCTCCAGTCTCACAGAGCAGGGATAGGCATGGACCACGTGCCCTGAGTTTAAAGCATGTCAGAGATGTCCCACTGAACCATACATGTACATGTACTGGCCTACTCTGCCTGTCCAGAGCCATTTCTTCCATTGCAGTTCTTTGTTTTAAGCATGAAAGTATAGAATTCACTTATTGTTACTGGTGGCTTGCTATGGATCTAGGCGTAACGGTTGAAAAAAGCATTTCTATTGCTGTCTCACTGTCCAGTTTCTAGTGGGCCAAGAAGCATAGCATAAAAGCTGTCATCCCACTTGGCTCTAATTGCTCTCATTTTTGGCACCATCAGCTGAGGCCAAGGGCTGAATGAGCATAGGGGATGAATCCTGCTCTGAAAGCCTGCAGATGAGGATGGAGGCATGTCGGAAAAGCAATGCGAGATGCCTGCACACCTACTTCTTGCATGGACCTGTACTCCGGGTAAAGGAGGAAATTATGATCCCAGGGGGCTAAGGGCTCGTCTAATAATTGTGGCGCTCTCACTAATGATTTACAAAGGTAATCAGTTTTAAAAGCTGTATTCCAGGAAGGGGCACTTCTGGAGCAGATCAGCCTTTGGGCTGACAGCAGCCTGCTGATTCCCTGCCCATGGGTAATTTTTTAACGGAAAATTTGGAAAAAGTCCATGTCAGATTTGTTATTCATTCTTTATTTTGATTTGCAAATAGTGCTTTGCCTTGCTTCTAACAGTCATCCGCAGAACATTTAAACAAATACCTTCTTACATTTTCAGTTGAGTCTATCTTTTCATTTCCTTTTCATGGCATTTTACCTGCAAACTTAAGACTCTCACCATTTGCCAAGACAGATCCTCAACTCCTCACTGGGCAACAATGCATGCACACATGAGCAGCAGCTGCTCCTTTATGTGTCTGGAACAAGCAAAACTTGGAAAATCAGAAGAGCCATGTAGTGCAGCCCGATGTATGCAGAACAGGGGTATTTGCCGCACAGCAAGCCAGCTATGTACATGTTGGCCCCACAAAATGGCAGAAGCACTGCGTGCCTCCTCTGCCTGCCTACCCTGTTCTGCTTTCCAGCTAGGACAAGGCAGCGCCACGTGTGTTGAGTTCCACCGTGCCCTACGGGCTGTCCTGTCTGTGGACTGGGAAGGGACAAATTCCCTGCTCTGGCCTCAGGTCCTGCAGCAGAGGAGCTGTGCAGCAGGAAGAGGCACAGAGGTAACAACAGTGCACAGTGCAAAACAAAACAAGTGAAGAAAAAATTCAGGTTTTGATAGTCTTTACTTTTATACTGTGTAAAAATGTGTCTTGCTTTTATTTTCCACAGGTCTGGCAAACATTTTTCCTTTACAGCTCAAGCTTTGCCCCAGTCACTGAGCTGCATGTAGGCTTCACCTAGCTTTTGACTTGCACGTTAAACAAGAATGAAGAAGAAAAAGAGATATTATTAGGGTCTGGACTTTCAATTTTTTGAGTCAATAGGAGCTTTGCTGTCCATTCCTG